AAAAAAAAAAATATTTTATACAAAATTAAAAAAAAAAATATTTTATACAAAATTAAAAAAAAAAATATTTTATAAAAATTAACAAAAAAAAAATTTTAGAACATACATTATTCGGGTTTGCGTGTATTATATTTAATTGCTTTTAATTATAGTGTTTTAGTTAGAAATATGTAAATATTTACTTTTTTATCCTTTTTCATTCCAGCTTTTGAGTTAAAAAATAATTTTTTGATTTGTTACTAAAATTTGTAAATTAAAAAATACTTTCTCAATTTTTAGGCCAAAATTAATTGGGAATTAAAAATTTTAATTTTAATTTTTTTTATAAAATAAAAAAATTAATCCCAATATCTTGAATTAAGATTCAAAATTAATTTTTATTCATCTCTGCTCATATGTACGCTAAAAACAAAAAAAAGCAAATAAATATTACCTTCGTTCTACATAAAATATTTAAATACTACAGTTGCAACCAACGTGTTCCTATTTTTTCCAACGCTATATATTTACGTATTTTATTAGTGCAAGTAGGCAATTTGCTGATTGGCTAAATAAATTCTGCCTAAAATTTCGAGAAGGTGAACAAAAGTTTGTACGTTGCAAAAATATAAAAAACGCATGATTTTTTTTTCGTTTATTACATACATAACCAAATACATACCATTGGCGTATTACACAAGCAATTAACGACGTTTCGCCTTCATATAAAAAAATAAATTAAGTTAAAAATTATACCATTGAATATTATTCCAATATGACCAACCTGTGAAAGTGTACTTTCCTACCAGCCATGAAATGCCTTTTAAAATAAGGCTACAACCAAGACCTTTCCAAAATGTTGCAGCACCTTGACGAGAATACAGTTGTATTATGATTGGCACCAATGAAAAAGGCAGTAAATGAAACCTATAAAATAACAAATGGTTGTTAGTTATTATTAATAATATTCAACATATTGTTAAAGTGTTACCTTAGGGCTACGATGTTAACTTGACATTGTTGCCGCAATACAATAAAAGGATGAGAGATCACATTCTCGATGAACCAGCTGAACCACATCAAGCCTATAAGAGGGTCATAGCAATTGGAATAATAGTAACAAGTTAGCAAATTGAACTATATTTCACAATAATTGAAATATAAATTTGGTTACATTCACAAAATATAGAAATACTTAACTAGAAGAGTGTGTTATTATTATTATTTTTTTTTTGTTACATTATATATACTGAAGAGCTGCTTTATCAAAATAACGCAAGTTATATTTTCATAAATGTATGTAAGCATGTATGTACACTATTTATATAGAACTACTAATAACAAGAAAAAATGTTAACTTTGGCTGCAACGGAGCTATAATACCCTTCACAAATTCCATACAAGGACTTGATTTTGATCAATCAGTTTGTATGGCAGCCACATATATGCTACAGCAGTATGAACTGAACAATTTGTTATTGTCCTAGGCAACTGTACGGCCTAGGACAATAATCTACGACGAATTTCGTGAAGAATATCTAGTCAAATAAAAAAGTTTTCCATACAAACACTTGATTTCGATCGATCAGTTTGTATGACAGCTATATGCTATAATGGTCCGATATCGGCGGTTCCGACAAATGCACAGCTTTTTTGGGCATAAAAAAATATGTGCAAAATTTTAAATCGATATCTCAAAAATTAGGGATTAGTTCGCATATATACGGACAGACGGACAGGGCTAAATCGACTCAGCTCAGTGTATAATGTGTATTTCAGAGGGTCTCCGTCGTTTCCTACTGGGTGTTACAAACTTTGTGGCAATTTGAATATACCCTGTTCAGGGTTTAAAAAGTAACAAAAAATGTGGCTAATTCTTTATTTCGCATATATTCAAGATGTTTAATTTTTAAAAAATAATACATACATACTGAATGCAATGCTCTTTTTAAATAATATTGTCAATAGTCCTAATCATGTTCTATTGCATAACTAAAAATCAATCTTACCTTTGCTTTCAGATTTAGGAAGGTATAAATCATCGTACCTTATACCATGGTATGAATTTATATACCCATCTTCAAATAAACATCTCGGTAATTCTTCTTCTACGATTGCATATACATTTTGTAGTAATTCAACATGCCCAATACTTTATAAAAACAAAATTAACTATTTTTTAAAAGTAAAGACTTTTTCAGCTACTCACGCTTCCGGAACAAACACACCCCAATAGCGCATAGTAGTTAGAAAGTTATCATTATTATTACATAGTGGACATCTAAACAAATCGCCAGCTGAGTGTGCATACGTTTGCAAACACAATTTGTGAAACCAATATTTGCGACAACAGGGCGAGCGCAGCATTGTCGCTGGATTAAATTTAGTAGTTTTCGCAAAAATGTTTTCATAGCAAATACAGCAAAGTTCATTCGCTTTTGGACGATACTTGGGCACCCTAACATGCCGATGACAATACGAACGATAGGGTGGCACAAATTGATTTCTGGTCCCATTTTGTAGGCCGCAAATGAAGTGAAAAGTACGTTGACAACCACTATGACTGCAACTTATATTTGCAAGGTTCTTTTTACAATAGCAGCAATTCTACAGAGACGTACATTTTATGAAAATAAACAAATTTAGAAAAATTTGTGTTAGTAGGCACTTATTTATCGTTGTTGTTGTTGTAGCGACAGAATTCTGCCGAGTTGACAGTCCTTGGCCGGATAAAAATCCGGGTCCGTTCCGGTTACGTAGACCCGACTGTCGTGGGAACGGACCTATTTATCGTTCTTAGATATCGGTACACATGATTTCGAGTTACAAGGCAAACCACATTTTGAAAAATATTATACTATTACTTATTTCATTTAAGTCTAATCCACAAATAATTAACCAACAAATATTTCCGTTAAGCTATAAACTAATATTTTATTGCATTTAAAATTAAAGTAGGAATAATCTTTCTTTCGCGAAGTAAATGTAAGTATTAAAACAAGTAAGGAAGGGCTAAGTTCGGATGTAACCGAACAGGGGCTTAAACAGTTTTGGTTCGATTTAGACAATTTTTGGCCACAAGGTGGCATCTTTAATCGCATTATTCACGCAAAGTTTTATCCCGATACAGTCATTGTTGCCTGATTTGCATAGTGGAAGGTGAAAGAATCAGATGGAATTTAAAATGGTGTTATATGGGAAGTAGGCGTGGTTGTAGTCCGATTTCGCCCATTTTGACATAGAAACTTGAAAAGAACGTTATGCACCGAATTTGGTTGAAATCGGTTAAGCAGATCTCAAGATATGGGTTTTCACCTAAAAGATCCTGTGTACCAAATAACAGTCTTGTATCTTATTGCGGAGCTTAGTTATGGCAATTTATTTGTTTTTGATTAATGGCGTTTTGTGGGCGTGCCAGTGGTCCGATTACGCCCATCTGCAATACCAACCGTCTCACGGTACCAAGAAACATGTCTACCAAGTTTCATAAAGATATCTCAATTTTTACTCAAGTTAGAGCTTGCACGGACGGACGGACGGACGGACAGACAGTCACCCGGATTTCAACTCGTCTCTTCATCCTGATCATTTATATATACATAACCCTATATCTAACTCGATTAGTTTTAGGTGATACAAACAACCGTTAGGTGAACAAAACTATTATACTCTGTAGCAACAGGTTGCGAGAGTATAATAAGCTGTTATTTTTTTGTCGCAATTTTTTTTTGTTTTTCTTAGTATGGACACTGCAGACTGTGCTGAGACGCCGGCGCACATATTATTTAAATGCGATGCGGTGACCAGAAGAAAGCTCGCGTATTTAGGATGTATGCAGCCGAAGCAACATCATATAAAAACCAGCAACCCCTCAAGCACCTTGCAGTTTATAAGAGCTTTGGGGCTAGATGAAATAATATGAAAAGTGTTAGAGTGCATATGCTCCCTTAACTATATATTATATATATCTATCTAGTACGTTTATTTACCCTTCCATTGAAAAGTCTGCGTTGATTTGAAATTTCATTTAGTAAGAAGCTGTAAACCCCATACTCATCACGAAGCCCTTGTAGTCCAGAAGAAAAGAACTGAAAAAAAATATATTAAAATATGAATGTATACCGTAAATTCAAAATAATATTAAAAAAGCTAAAAATTGTGTAGTGGGAAGCTCCTTATTTATTTATTATAAGCGCCAAGGTTTCAATTTTTACCAAGAAGATAACATTTTAACAATTTTCAGATAACTTCAACACTACTTAGTTATTTTGGTAAATATATAGTTTAGGTCCCCCACATAAGGAGGCCTCAAAAATGAAATTTTTTTTTAAATCGTCTTATTTTTACGCGTAGATTACAAATCCGTGAGCGGAAAGTGAATTTTTTCAATAATTTATGTATATTTTTCAATATTTATTTACACACTTTGCACATTTCACATATTCAAGTCACTTAGTTGTTGTTGTTGTTGTAGCGGCAAAATTCTGTAGAATTCAGAGCACTTACCTGTAATTACCAGTTCAGTGTGTTAAACATTTTCTTATGAAAAAAATATACTGAGGAAATGTAACAGTCAAAATTTCTTTTGTGCCGCGATTTGATGGTATGAACGAATATCGGAGATCGTCACGGACTTGTAATCTTTGCCTTAAAATAAGACGATTAAAAAAATTTTAATTTTTCAGTCCTCCTTCGTTGGGGGACCTAACTATACATTTACCCAAATTCTATTTTAACTTTTAGGTTTTTCGTGCCTCACAAGTGTGTTCGGAAAAAGAACCCAAAAAATCTTTGGTTTGAAGAATTTTATTTTGAAAATTTTATTATTACTTCAGTTAAAGTTTTATCTGTGATTTAAAATAAAACACAAAACTTGTTTTGAACAAAAATATGAAATTCAACTACTTTTAAGTATCAACTTGATCAAACCAACCTCACAAAATGATTCGGAAATTTATTTTCTAGCAGGAGTCCCGTTATTATCGCAGGCGCTCTTAGCTGTCAGTAGCAATTTATGTTGTCTGAATAAAAATTTTGTAGAATCCGGTCATTTTGTCTTTGTTTGTGAAAAATACGATTTATTGTGTAAAATATGGGAAAAAGATCAAAAGAAGCTAGATTCTAAGGAAGAAAAATAATATTTAATCTTCGAAAGGAATAAAAAAAACGTTGCAGGAGATATCAAAATTTAACTATCAAAGCGTTTCAACTATCCACAGCCGGCCGGCCGGTCCTAAACTATGCTTCTGCAATATGGTCGCCTTGCAGTGCAACGCAGACGAAGAAGCTTCAGACTTGTCAAAACACTGCACTTCGGACTATCACGGGATGCCTCTTGATGTCCCCAATAGAACACCTACACAGTGAGTCCCGTTTGATTCCTGTTAAGGAACATAACGAACTCGTCTCCAAGCAGTTTCTTCTGGGATGTTTCGCAGAAATTATATTAAAAGATAATTTAGCCTTTGCGAACGTTACATATTTCCTAAGTTTTTTTCCAAAGTTCCTTTGAAATTATAACTTAATTTTTGAGTTCAAATGAAAGTTAAAACTACAATACAGTAATTAATCAATATATTTTAATAATAATATAACTTTTGTAAGAATTGCAAGCAATTTCTTTCCTGAAAATTATTTTCCGATTACTTTTGAGAGGCACCGTATATGCTATTTGTACAACGCCGACAAACTTGTACAAGGTCACCATATTTTTTAATTTGGGGAATCCCATGATATATTTTTCGCCTTCATGGTACATTAATATACAAACTCAATACCGAAAACTTACTAAATCAATTTTAATTATTAATATTCAGAACTTTAATTTTTAAATTCTACAAATTTATGTATACATATATGTATATACATAAGCATTTACTAACCAAGCAATTTGTATGCACCATTATGTTTTGCTTGCCGATAAAGTGACCATATTGTATTACATCTCGTTGATTAGAACCGCAAAGCTCACACCGCATTATAAAAACTTGTAATGTTATTATTATTTACGCAAATAAGAAACAATAAACTCGGTAATATTTTTAAACGAACTCCAAAGCAAACTATTTATTTCAGGCAGCTTATTAGAGATGCTCAATTTTGGCAATAAATCGCGCCGAAGATGTACGAAGTTTTCACGATTTTCGATTAAACGTAAATTAATCGATATGTAAATCCTTTTTTTCCTTAAATTATAAGCAAGATGCTTGTGGTATGCACAAGGGGTTTTTGAAAATTATTTATTTACTTTGAGAGACTTTGAATAATCCTTTGAACTAATATGTTTCAGCACCATTTTTGGTCTACCTGTTAATTCTAATTACTCAAGCATCTATTAAATATTTGTTGACAAGTGGCACCACTAACGAAATGAAAAAATTTAAACAGTAGAATTGGCGAAAGTTTTATCTGATGTCATAACCGTTTGTCAGTGATTTTTATTTATGACGTTAATTAGTGACTAAATATTCTTATGAAACAATGAATAGATGCGTACTCCTTATTGACTAAAATATTGTGACGAATACGAATGATAGAACAAAATCGAATCAACGATAAACTGCCAGAAGCAACTAGTTAGTGAATTCGTAGTTGCCAGAATGTTCTAGAAGCAATGTTTTGTTACAGATTTACTATATAAGGGCTGCCGGATTGTGCAACAAACCCAGTTCTAGTTAGAGTGTGTCGTGATAAGAACAATTGAGGCATCAAGTTGAAGAAGTTGTCAGCTCGGATAACGACCAATAAGTGTTAAGTTGTTGGAATTAGAAATAAAGATAGGTGTGTAGCCATTATATTGGGACTTTTATTTAACAATCCAGAGATCGAACTCAAGAGTGAGTTACATTATCGAGACATCCGTTACAATATATTAGACGAATCAATCATATAACAGTTTTGCCTTTCTGGTCAACTTTACCGCTTTTTTTATTTATGGATTTTTGTTACTGTTAGCATCCAAAAAATTTTTACTTTTGTGTCTTGGTATAATCGCATTGATTTTAATTATTAACCAAATTTATCATTATATCTAGTATTACATAACTTTTTCATGCAATTTAGCTACTTCTAAATATATTATTATTAAATTTAGCATGAGTTCAGTTGAAATTTGAAAGCATATACATATTTAACAGATCGCTGCAGTCGTCCAAGAGTAGATATACGATGTATATATATTTGAAAATGTTAAAAATTAATCGCTTCGTTATAAATTACATTAATCTACGGAACGATTGCCCACACTTTGAACGTCCAATTCACTATTGGTACTTAGGCTCGGCGAAATTGTTGTCGAATTCGAGATGAGTCCGCGATCCAAATTATAGTATTGCATAACTTTTTGTGGTGGGCGACTAGAAATCACTTCAGTTATCTGTGTGACAACCCACTTTGTAAGCTTTATAACAGCAATATGTGCAGCGAACTGTAAAACTATAGAGCCAAAACCTTTGTAGAGTCCTGAGAAACCTTCTGCGGCGACTGTTGTACGATAACAATCGATAGCACCCTGATAGTTGGTTAGTATGGGTACAACAGCATAGCCATTATCAAGATTATCAATAATAGTGCGGGTGCCTTGCAATTGAATGCGATGCAGTATCGTTTCAAATGGATAAAATATCACTTCTGTGGTAAGCATTGAAATTAGATTCGAGTAAATTTCTACATTTTGATTTTCTAAAGTGTCGTCCTTATATTTAGCACCCTTACGTTCTTGAGCCTGTTGAATTCGACGACGCATAATACGCGATGAGATACCTTTGATCACAAGTCTAAAGAATTGGTTTTACAGACTTATAATTTGATTAATTAATTAAAGTGAAAAAACGTACCCAAATAAATATTTTGTAATGCCAACAGACATACAAGGACCTATTAAAGCCCAGGCCGGTAACATACGTCCTTTTTGTGGTGAACTCCAATACAACAAACGTAAGCTTCCTTCTCGAAATACATCAAAAAGACCAGGTTTTTCACTGGCTATATCGCTCTGCACCGTCTCCACCAAGGAAGCAGAGTAAAACGGCATTACAACCGCAATGCTAACACTGTCCATTTCATCAATATATTTGCAATTAATTAATATTAATAAAATTCGATTTGAATGAAATGTAGTCATACCACTTTAGAATAATATGCTGACCAAATTTCTTTAAAGTTGTTCGGCTATCCACATCTCTGTAATATGTTTAATAATCATTTAATATAAGTTTTACAGTTTCATGGCAGATGTTGCTTACTTTGGCCAATGTGTTATTTTTGATATAACGTCGTCTACTGCTAACGACATGCCTCGAACAAGTAGACAACTACCTAAACCTTTCCAGAGTGTAGTAACACCTTGGCGCCGATGCAGATGTACAATGCTGGGAACCAGCGCAAACGGATGCAAATGGTAGCTGTATAAATTTAAAAGTTATAAAAGTTAAAAGTTATAAACTTTGTAACAAATTTTAATAAATATACCGTCTGGAAGCGTTGTAAACTTGACATTGTCGTCGTAATACAATGAACGGATGGCTTAACAAATTTTCAGTTACCAAGCTGACCCACTGAACTCCTATGCCGAGGTACTTCCGTATGGATATTTCTATCGCCAGAAAAAAATGAAATAAAAATGTTATTCAATACGTTATGGAGATTTTCTTCAAAAACTGTATCTTACCATCCTCCTGACTATCATAGTAGTTATCTAGTGTTTTATGTTTTTCTAATGGTAATGATAGATCACGCTCTGAATTGACATATTTCAATCCTGTCGAACCACCAGTTGTCATGTCATGTGCTGAACCGCCTAAGCTGTCAAGATAATTTTGTGTGTGCAATTGTCGTTCATCATGCAAAGGAAAGCTGGAAATGGAAGAAAATTGTAAGCCTTGATACACCTAAATAAGTTGTTATCCACTAAAACTTACGTCATGTGTGAACGTTGTAAATTTAGTGTATTAGGTGGTACTAATGCACTCGCTCCAGTTCCGGTTGTAATGTTCGATGTGGTCATTATTGGCCCCTGAATTTGACTTGCACTAAAGATATTTCGTAGTCGAGTTGGTTGTTCAGGTTCGTCGCTAGCATCATCCTCATTTTTTTCATTTGTTGCATACCTGCAATGTAAACGTAAATCACAAATGGTGCATTAAGGAATACCATTGCGAAACCAAAATTAATTTCTTGCATTCACTCACATTAATGTTGAATAATTATTCATTCCTGCCATTACACGTCACGACACCACGCTTAACAAAATTATTATAATTTTGTTATTGTTCCTATTTGTGCGTTCCTTTATATATTTTCAATAAGTTGATAAAAAGAGATATTTCTTCCTACTAAAATATAAAAATTCTTTAATTTCCCCTTAACCTGAGCAAGTGTCAGAGTTTGGCAACTGATTTCTAACAAAAACAATGCGCATCCGTACGTTCAGTGATGAGGAAAAAATTATTACTATTATTAGAACAAGGAATATATCTATAAAAAAAAATACTTTTCCTAAAAAATATCTTTTCCAAACATTATTACAAAATATATATTAATCTAAATTGAGGTAATAGTACATATAAAAGCATATTATAGTGATTGCATTTTTTTTATTTTTAACTAAGTGTGGCAAGGACTAGTTATACTGCGGCTCGCTCATATGGCACAAAAAGAAAACAGTGTTATTGAATTGAAACTTAGTGGAAAGAAAAATTTATTTATTAAAAAAATGCTTCGCACACTTATTATTGATCTTAACAAATTGCGGTAAGTTTAAATGTAAATAGATAGTAATCGTTAATTAAAAATGTAATGTCCTAACTAACCTCAAATTTTAACTACACTCACTAGTCTAAGTCCAGTCGTGGTTACACAAGTACGGGAGAAAGGACATTTAAACCGACCTCGTTTGAGAAATCCCTACTGGTTTGTACGCAAAGAAAGATTGGTACGTAAAAGATATGAAAAGTTCAATGTAGCTGACAAATACTAATTTAATTTACCACAAGGCTCGCGATACAACGGTGACAACAGAAAACAAAGCTTTCGTCAAAGAAGTAATAAAAGACAAATATGGTCCTCCGGCAATTATTAAAGGTATATCTTCATACGACCAATCGGCTTTAATAAAAGCAGAACAATTCGAGCGACAGCCTTGGCATGAAAAAGCACGTCGTTGTGGCCTTATTGCACGTAAAATTGGGCAGTATCCACTTTGGTTGAAAAATGGAGAACGTATACGTACCACATTGTTACAGATTGTTGACAATCATGTAATCCGCTATATACCTCCTCATGAATACAAGCCCGCGCAAAAGCCTAATGTTGCCAATCTAAATAAATATGGTTGCTTGCTGGTGGGTGCCGAGTCAGTAGATCCCTCCACATTAACGAAAGAGTATTGCGGGCTATTTCGTGATTCTGGCGTTATGCCTAAACGTAACCTAGCGAGATTCATTATTTCTCCAGAAGCAGCAATACCAGCTGGCACACCATTAAATGTTGCTCACTTTAGAGCGGGTGATTTTGTTGATGTACGAGGCAAAACGTAAGCGTTTAAGAAAAGCCAAATCAAATAATAGACTAATTTTCTTTATAATATTTTCCTTTAGTGTCGATCATGGCTTCCAAGGAGTAGTAAAACGTCATGGATTTAAAGGTATGCCTGCATCTCATGGTGTAACAAAAACACATCGTCGACCTGGTAATATAGGTGGTGGTGGTGAGAAAGGTCGTGTATGGCCAGGCACAAAAATGCCTGGTCATATGGGTAACCGCTGGCGTATAGCGAAAGGATTACGTATCTGGCGCATCAACACCAAATACAATGTGATGTGGGTACAAGGCAGCGCTATTCCAGGATCTACCAATGGACTTGTATATATTTATGATACAATTTTACCACTGCGAAAACATAAAACAGCACCACCTTTCCCCACTACTTTTGAAGAAGAACTAGAAGCGATAACTGGACCTTCAGATGATATATGGTATGAAGACGTACATAGTTTCAAAGATGATACTATAACTTTCCAACCAGAAACAAATTGAAATTAAATCTTGTTATAGAAATTGTTGTAATTTTATTAAAAAATGTACCAATGCTAATATATACATATGTAAATATACAATTTTTTTCTAAATGGAAACATTTCGCCATTATTGCATTATAATGCACTGCTCTTTTGTAATTCGTAATATTTCTCGTCATTATTTGATATTAACTTAAGTTTTCCTTCACGTTGTAACTTCTCAAGGTGATGTCCAACATTGTATGCAGCAGCCGGCCACAATTGTTCCGGTGTCTCTTTGTATACATCTCGTACTACGTCTATAGCTTGTAAGGGTTTATTAGGATTTCGACCAAAGAAATCCAGTACTTGCACTTCGCGCTGATTTCTATGATTAATGTAGTATTTGATTTTGTCAACTGGTTCCTATAAAAACACAATTTTATAAATATGTAATTTTTAAAATCAGCATTTTACTTTAATTATATTGCCATGTGCAGGGTATATGACTTCAGGTTTTATGCTCAATATTTTGTGCAAACTTTTCATGTAGTCATATAATTCTTCGAATACTGCGGTACCTTCACCTAAAAAAGTACAAAATGTAAAATCTGACAAGCTTGAGAATACAAACCCAAACCCAAAATACAGTCGCCACTAAACAATATACCATCTTCCATGGTCAAAATTACATGATCTGTTGTATGCCCCGGCGTATGTATTATTTTCACTTTCGCACCCTCTACACTTAGTTCTTGTTCATCCTGCAACGGATGCAGCTTAATATTTACTGGGATCTCTGGACACACATCTAATGCGTCGGTACGTGGGAATTTATAAACCAAGCAATCTAAAAGTATTTGAAATATTATTAAACGAATAAATTTAAAACACGCCGAATATAAGCTTAAAACGAACCACTTGCAGCGCATGTCTTTAGCACATCTTTCACGCCTCCTACATGATCATGATGCCAGTGGGTGAGTATTATTGTACTTAATGCTGCCTTCTCCTGCTTTAAAACAGATGTTAAATGTTTGATATACTCCGGCACGTCCACATCACCAGTGTCTATCAAAATGCGTCTTAAAAAGAGGGAAGATATACAAATGTATGTATATACATATGACTAGTATTCTTTTAAAAAATAAACTTTGACCTATCTTTTACCTTTTGCCTGTACCCAATAAATATGTGTTGGTACCTTGCAAGGTCATTGGACCGGGATTGCAACCTAATATGCGTATAATTGATGAAGTGAGACGTGTAACGGGTGGTATTAATGCCATTTTAAGTATATTTCCAACTTTCTAACTATGTATCTAATTTACTTCAGTATAAATCGGTGATAAATTCTTATCAGGACTGTGAAAACTACAATGTAAACAAAAATAAATGTTCGCTAATGATTGCCAATCACAGATTTATTTTAGCACAGGGTTACAAAAAATTACAAGAGTCGGTGAATGAAAATGTTTTCCTCTGCTACACCCCATTTTCTTACGGATATAATTGCTTTCCAAAAAAAAAAAAAAAAAATTGACAATCATATTTTGAAATATTTTTTGGCTTTCTTCCGAGTCTAATTGATTTACCTTAATTTTTTCCTCGCAATTAGATTTTAACTATTTAAATACAAAATGTCTACTACTACTATAAATAAATTAGCATTAGCTGAATATTCCGCTGAGCTGATGGTGTATTTTGAAAAACATAAAATTATTGAAATTATAACGGTCAGAAAACTAAAAAGCCAATATTTGGAATACCCTAACATTCTATATCATATTTACAGCGTTTAATGGTTGAAATTGGCTTGATTCGGCCCACTAACCCACAAAACTGGATCGCTACCAATATTCGGCGCATTGCGGATGAGTTTTATCATAAGTGTTTAAAAGCAAGCTATACATCCAGGAAAATTGGTAAGACGGAAGGGACCTTTACAAGATTTTTCAATGTGCTGAAATACTACAATATTTTTTTGTTCCTCTAAAGATTACTATCAACTGCCGCGACATTTTCACCATCGTATAGTTATATTTGGACGCAGTGGCTCAGGTCGAAAAACTCAAGCATTGGCGATAGCAAAACGTTTTAATTTAGTTTATAGTAATATTTACAATCACTTTCTATATACATACACACATATATTAATACGCATACCTAAAATTTAGTTGACGCAGAAAGCTTGATTTATACAACTTTCTTTCGAAACGATGAAGTCGCACAGAAGTTACATAAAGCATTCTTACACAATGTGGCTAGGGAAAAATCGTCTGCGGTATCGAAGGTTTTACAGCAGCGCTTATTACAAATGGATGCCCTACGACAAGGTTGGGTGTTGATTAATTATCCACGAAATGTGGAGGAATTCACCGAGATGTTTGAAACCTACAAAATACCACCCAACAAAGTTATATATTTACAATGTCCGGAAATAATGGCGATGCGACGTTTAGTTTCTAAGCCAGATTTGGGATGCCCGCAAAATTCGTGCGAACACATTGAACATGAGGTAAAACAGTAGCTTATATAATACAAATATACATTTGTATGTGTTCTAAAAGTTATAAAAACTTAACAATATGCTGTTTATTTAAATTTTAATCCATCCATAATATAATCAAATAGATGGCTTATTTCTCACAAAACGAAACAGCAATTAATGACTACCTCCAACGTCGCCATGAGACCATATATATTGATTCCACACCTTGTTTTGAAGCTGTGCGTACAAACTTATGGACACAAATGGAGCGTTTGCCTTATGTAATGGGTTATAAAATGTAACAAAAAAAGCTAAATTTTCAAGTAGAATTATAAATGGCAGTTATTTAATTGCTTTTACTTAGTCTAGATCGTAGCCAACTTTTTTAAAAAGCATATACATATGTACATATATTTTATAGACTTGAAATAATATATTAAAACATTAAATCAGTACTTCATTTTGCTAAGCATGCACGTTGCCAAGAAAAAACTTATTTGATAGAAATATTAAAAATTTAAAAAAAAAAATTTTTTTTTTTTAGAAAATTAACTTATTTTATGGACGTGCAGCACGTGAAATTAGCATAAGCGTTTGTCATCCGTACTGTGCTTAAAGCCAATTTTATATCTGAAAACAAACAATTAGCTTATGTTTGGCTAACTGTGCTTTTTCTTATTGTTATAAAATTACAATAGCTTTGCATAATAATTTTGCTACCAGTTTTTCTCTTTTTTTTCATATAAATAAGCTTAACTATGAGTGGCCACGTCTCCCGTTGTCGAACCAGTATTACTAAAATATTGTTGCCTACAGAGTTCCTCCATTACATCGTGATTATAAGTTGAGTGTAGCATGAGGCCTAAAACGCCAGCGCGTGAAGCCATAAGATGTCGTATGTGACGTTCTTGTTCCAAAAGTTCATCCATTTTCAGCCACTGACGCACTCGTTCTAAATCGATTTCGGCGCGACGTATCTTTTCCCAAACGTAGTGCTTGAAGCAGCTCTTTTTAGGTGCGCGGCAAAATTCGCCTGTTGGCTTGAAAACGTTTGCCACCAGCGGACAACCGCATACATCAGTCTCACTAATTTTCGGATCCTTACAGTGTTCTGGACAAAGCACGCGCAAACGTTTACAGTACGTTTTACTAGCAGGATTATAAAAGTCACAGAACATTGAATTGCCTTCGATGCGCGTCTTAAAAATGCTACCGAATGATGCTTGCGATTCATATTTATTAAAACATTTCTCCATATGTTTGATGGCGGTGCGCGAGTGTATTTCGTGACCGCAGGTAATGCAATACATCGATTGCTCATCTTCGATGTCATTATTGTCTTGTGTACGATTTGTATCTAGCGTACTATGCTTAGCACGCTCAACAATCATATCTAGCTCCATGTGTCGCTTGTCGAGTTCGGCTAAAGCGAAACGAACTACCGCCTGTTTAGATCGTATCTGATCAAGTTGCTTTTTGTTTTCTTCTTCAGCCCGACAGTTAGATAGATTCCATTCTTGCACACGTTGCGGCAGAACCTGAACAAAATAATTGCATAAATTAAACTGACAAAGCTATATATATGATATATGATATATGAGATTTGTGGCTTTGATAAATACTTGGAAAATACGATTGGTCGCCAAGTTAATACCACATATATCACTGCAGTACTTTGATTGTGGTCTTGCATTGTTTCTACAACGAGGTCCATAACATTGTCGCACACCCTCTAAATCTGGATTCATAAATACTTCCGGACTTAGTGAGCGTTTCCGTTTCCGTGATCGTTCTTTTGGCTGTTTTTCCTTGCGTTTATGACGAGTGGGCGCTTGTATGGGCATTGGTACTGCATTTTGCTGTTGAGTTGGTGGTTGCAATTGCTGCTGTTGTGTTGCTGATGTTGGCGGAGCTTGACACACACGCATTTCACAACGTGGCTTGTGCCCACCCACACGTATACGACATGATTCGCATATTCCACAGTTTGGAGCGCGACAACCTTCACAATTACCACAGCGATTTTGTGACTGTTTACTTCCCCCCAAAGTTGCCGCGCCAATATTGACCTCACGTACGTTTATTTGTTCCTTTGCCTTTTTACGTTTATCAGCGTCCGTAATGCTAGTAGCGCCACTTGGCGCTGCAGTCTTTTCTATTGGTACAACTCGAAACACAGTTTGTAAACTAGGATCTTCTTCTTTGCAACGCTGGCAGTAATAGTGCCTTATATGTTTAGCCTCTTTTTCAGTGATATTGATGCAGTCACCGTGATACCACTCTTCACAACCATCACAACCGCTAAATTATAACATGTATTGATTAATATACATTAATGTAAATGTTTTTTAGAAATTTTAGCTTACATCATGAAGCGGGAACAATCAGAAGATCTGCAAATGCAATATGCTTGACCATCCTGCTTCATTATAGTTGCGATTTTAGACTTTCTTTCTGGTAAGTCGAACTCACGTGCTATCTCCTCTTTCTGCATAAGAATCAATAATAGTTAATTCATAAATTCGTAAAATATTGAGCACTTGCTTACCGATTTTTTATATTTTCGCTTATCAGCCATTTTTCCTGAATGCCAACTAAATATCAAGGGAAAGTATTTAGGAAATGTTTAAGTGATAGGCTTGCCACATGTACCGAAAACAAATTCTACCATATGTATTTATGTCAGATTTACAAATATTAAAACTTATTAATGAATTTAAACAATTTCAATTAAGTGATCAGTAATTGACGATCTATTAATAAGTGAAAGAAAACTAAATTTTTTATAGAATGTTACGGAAGAAATATAACAAATAAAATATTTTATATCGGAAAATATAAAATCATACCATAACATCAAGAAAGAAACATTATTGTACAGCACACCACAGAGTGCAACTCTGCTAAGAGTTAACTCTTACATATATTTTTCATTCCACATATTCCACTTAATATTTGTGCTGATTTGTGCGTGTAAGATTTTATTAATTGTGTGAAAGTTTTGTAAAATAGTTTCAAAGCATAATACTATTAATTTTTTATTATATAAGAAAGCTAAATAAGCAAAAGAAATAATAAGGAAGCACATTATTAGATAATAAAAAATTAATATAAGCATGGCAAACAATATGTTTTAATAACTAGTGAAATTGAAGGTAAATAACAACAACAAAGTGGACGTCAACCCTACAAAATTATGTGTTTGCGCACATTTGCCGCCGATTTTACCGCGTGAAAAGTTAGCTGCAAACGAATTACACTAAAATAAATTTTATTTCAAGGAATCTGTAAAAACTTGGTTAGTAAGCTTTAACTTTTTATATTTAATAATATATATATATATATATATTTTATAAGTTGTCTAAATAACAAAAAGTAATTTGCATAACGCGCGAAAATGTGGCATACACTTTTTTTGATGTGTTAATTGACTGGTTATAATGAATGGCTGCTGAATTACCGCGTCGCCAGGTAATAGTTTCGGTATTGCATGACACTTTTATTGGAGTTGTGATATATTCGGGTAAAATATTATCTTTGAATATAACGGATTAATATCATCATTACTGGATTATTTATTCGCAACATCTACAATAAAAGAAAATTAATCAAAAAATAATAATTGGAAATATATATTTAGATCCAAAGAGTTTTACACCCATGCACAAATATTTTTTAATAGTTTTCTTTTTTGTTACAGATCCTACCCGGAAGTTCTATAATGAATGTGGTTAAACATAACCTCTATGACGGGATGACCTCTAATCCCACAAACACAGGTCTACAAGCAGAAGATCACATATATTGCCAACGTCAAAACAGTAATATGACTTTAGAAATACGACAACAGCAACAAAGTCATAGTTCACCTCTACAGGCGCAGCAACAATTTTTGCAGCGAATCCAGCATAATATACCTCCTCTACAACCACAATTACCCTCACACAAACAACAAAATTGTGCTGCATTAAACAGACTAGAAGAAGTACCGCAAACGCTGCTACAGAACTCTTCGCAGCAGCACCAAAAGGTGACAACGTCCGCTACCGTTTTTACTTCGCACGATTTGGCCGTGGAGAGTGTAATGCCAGGCATATATTTAACAAAGAACTTCATCGCCTGGAATGAGGAAAATTTACGTTCACATGGCTTTACACATATCATAATCATAGACAAGCATATACAGGAATTATATTATCCTTCACCGATATTTAAATTATCCACAGAAAATGTCACTGTGGATGCGTTTGATACATATGAATACTTCAGTCATCCAGCTACTCCGTCACTCAAATTTGGGAAAGAATTTGAAGCGATTGATTTGAATTTTGGCGAAAAATCCTATTTAACCACTGTGTTGCCGAATTGTTATCGCGCTGTTAAATTTATTAATAAAGCCTTACTAGCGGGTGGCACTATCCTGGTGATTGACTGTAATGGCAGTGAACAAAAGTGTCTAACGATAATAGTGGCATATCTGATGTACAAGCATCATATAAATTTTAGGTAAGTCTTAAGGTACAAACATCTTTGTTCATAATTAACATAATGCATAAATTAATCAATTTATCGTTGTAGCAAGGCATTTTCGCGCCTAAAAGAGCACTATGAAAAAGCTGATCTGGATCGCTTTTATATGACACAATTGTACGAATATGAACCAATATTACAGGTTCAGCGTGCACAATCACGCGGTCAGAGTTGTTCACGTGAAATGTACTCGGCGATACTGAAACGTAAGAAGGGCGATGATGAGGAAACTTGCATGTACGATGGTAGTTTCTCTGCTAGCAATACAACACAAGACTTTTTCAATTCATTAAATCCTTTAAAAAATTTTAATGCAACAACAACAACAATTGCGGAAAGGAATTTGAAAACGGTAAACGCATTTAGGCAACAAAGACAGCACAATCAATTGCATGAAACACCGGTGCAACAATCACATGTTTACCGCCAACATGAACAAAATGCTTCATCATCAGCAATTTACAGTAGCGATGATTATGCTATGGAGTAAGTGAACTGAGTAATTTTTTCCATGCCGACGACGGTGAAGCTCTTAGGTTAGTAATTTTGTATATAAATATACACTTTAGATATTTAAGTATGTATAACTATTTTTTAATTAATGATAAAGTCAGTCCTTTTCTACATTTATATGCAAAATATATTTTTGACTAAGTAAACAATTTAAATCTTTTCACACATAAAAACTTAATCTGGTAAATTAAACATTCTCAATTTACACAAATAGTTTATTTACATACTTATACAACAAAAAGTAAATCTAATACGAGCATATGTGGTTTTATCAGTAGTGAAGTATATAAACCACAATTCGATATAACGGAAAAAGTTCTTTTATATTCAACTGCCATTTACGTGATCGCACTGCGGACTAAGTGAAACTGAAATGTATAACCTAAAATTTTAATTTTTTTAAATTGAATAATGAATGCTTTTTTTTACTAAACTCTTTTCAAGTAGAAAGAGTTTTCAAAAAAATGTAGCATCTCTCATTAGCCTTTGAAATTAAAGTGCTTTCTTAAGAAAAAATGCTCACTCGTAGATGGTAGTGTTGTTGTTGTTGTAGCGACAAAAAACATTCCTGAAGTAATTTCGAGGAATTGTGCCGAGTTGACAGTCCTTAGCCGGATAAAAATCCGGGTTCATTCCGCTTACTAAGATCCGACGCTGTGGGAGCGGTAATATTTTCTTTTAGTTAATTTAAGGTGTTATATCCACTTGAAAGTCACAAAAAATGGTATTTCGTGAATATTTTTTTGAAGAGGCATTTTCTTTAATAATAAAATACTGTTAATAATGTACATTTACAGAATTTTATGTACCTTCATAATCGGTATAATTTTTTTTGGAAAAATTTTACATTCCCTTGACTCCGGAGCCGATCTCCAGGAGGACCTCGGAAAAAGGGTATCTGGATGTGAGAAAGGTTTTTATGCTTAAAATTATCTCAAAAACCACAAAACAAAGACATTTTTTTTGCAATAAATGATGAATGATCTAAAGACTAGTCAAAATTTTGATTTTTGACAAATGGCGGCTTCCCAAAAAAATTTAGTTTTTGCGAAAAATTTACAATTCAAAAATACTAAATAAAAGTCAAATTTTTTTAAAAATAAATTTTTATTAGATTATTTTACATACTTCTAGGCTGCATTTGGCTTTATTAAATTTTATGCAATACTAAAATGCTAATTGACAATATATTTAAAGCAAGGCGAAAAAGTTTATGAGTGTACCGCAAGCGTATAAAACTTGTTTTTAGTTTTACAACAAAAATATAACCCTTTTTATAACATTACCAATTCTACAACTTATATCCGACCAAGGACTGACTGTCTGACTCTATATAGGACATGTATATTATAAATAAGTACAATATGTGAATTGCTTCGTAAAAGAAGTGCTCGAAATTCGTTTAAATTGCTTAAATTTTCCGTTAATTATAATTAACAAAGTAAATTAATTTATTTAGTAATTTTTAAAAAAAATTTGTCTTAAATAATTTATTTAAAGAACTATACACACATATGTAAGTCAAACAATAAGTATGACGCTATTATTTAACGGTAATTTATAAAAGTAACTCAGTAAATACAACAAAAATAAGAAATTTACAATAAATATTTACATTTATATTCCAAATAGAATTGCCAAGTATTTTGTACGTTTGTATATATGTAAATTTACAATATTTCTATTAGAAGATAAAATAAATTTATAAATAAATCTGTATACATATGGTATATAGCATATCAACATCTGCATTTGCCGACACAAATCATCAATGCTTATAAAACTTATGTAAATGCCAGAAGACTTATTAATATAGCTGGTGTTTAATCAGTGGTCGTCGGTTGAAAGTGTCGGTAAAGACGACAGTCTGTTCTACGTCACGGAATGCACACCTATTTTTCAAATTTAAGGCAAAAGTACCATAGTCAGCGAATGCTGTTCAGAGCTGTGTATTAAATTGTTAACTACCAACTGATCAAATATGATCCGGATTGGTCCATATAAACGGTCGCAAACCGAATCGATAAAATTTTTTTACGTTCGTGTGAAGTTTAATCTCCATATGTGAATTAGTGTGTGTGACAGCTGGCGCTCCCAAAATGAGCACAAACCGAAAAAAAAACAACAACAAAAAACGATGAAGGCATCGAAGGCCATCAAAGCCGAGGCTTTGAACAAGTGTATAGAAAATTGGATTAATCGTTTTAAAGGTGATAATATAGATTTGTATTAAAATATGAGAGAGTGTAGTTTTTCGGCAGTCCAGGTCAAATTTGATCAGATGGTATAGTATATGGACGAACAAAACAAACAGAAACACTATAGTAATCTCAATCAATCAAAAAACTGTAGCGACACGTTGATAGCTTGTCCAGCTCTGAAAGTATTTAATGAAGGTGGGAGGAGAGCAAAAAGAAATGTCTTGTTGTTGACAGTTCTTGGCCGGATGAAAATCCGGGTCCGTTTCGGTTACTTAGACCCGACTGTCAAGGGAACGGTAAAGAAATAGCTTCGAACCTATTGGTACAGCGCAACAACGTACAACTAAAATAAATATAGTTAAAAAAAATAAAAAACAAGCTTTTAAAGAACTCAAACTAAAAGTGAAAAATTAAAATTTCTTCGGAGATTGTGTTATTGCCTTAGATAATATTCCATGTCAAATTTCGTGATGATTTGCAAGCACTTGATGTCGATTGTTCAGTTTGTATGACAGCTATATGCTATACAAGTCTGATATCGGCGATTCCGACAAATGCGCAACTTTTTGGGGAGAAAACAACATGCGCGAAATCTCAGATCGATATCGCAGAAACTGAAGGACTGGTCACGCTGATCATTTAGATACATACATATATATTTTATAGGGCGTTATAAACTTCGTGGCAAACGTAATATACCCGTTTTGGGTATAAAAAGAGTTTTGGTAGTACCAGCGTCCTAGCAGGTAAGTTTCATAAATATTTATATTTTACTATTCCTTTCAATAACACATAATTTTTAAAATATATTTGTACATATGTATATATAAATGTTTTATTTATTTATTTCGATTTCCAACTTGTCAAATGAACAGTTGCTTAACATACTGGACATGTTTTTGTTTTTTTCATATTTAACTATATTTTAGCTATACGAGTATCTATTTATTGTATTTTAGCCGGAATTTGCACACAAATGATGTCCTCGTTGTTCTGGTCCTGCAATTCCCATTTAACAAGTACATGTACCTGTAAATTAAATGGAGAAAATATTATTTAAAAGAAAATTAGGAAATTAATATATATTTATAAATATTCATAAAAAAATGAATTTTCATAAAAATAATAAATCTGACGCTAAAAAAATATACTACAAAATTAAGATGTAAAAAGTTGCAAGGCAACTAGAACGGATGATTTTTTTCATCATTAAATTCTATTTTTTATATACTTATACATTTATTCGCATTTAGCTTTTGACTTTTATTGTTAGGGTGCCTTTATGAGTTACAGATTTCGATATTGGATTAGTAGTCAAAGTAAACATATGTGTTTGACATTTATGTTCGACAAATTACCTTGAAACGACAACAATATTTGAAAAGCGTGAAAATTTGTTTCCAAAACTCGCATGAAAATGTTTACCGTTAAATCATCTTTATTGGTATGTGCCTTACCGGCTTATCCGGCTAAACGGTTACGTAAATAACAAAATTGCCGTATGTGGAGCTCGAAAAATATTGAAGAGCTTCTACAGGCTCTCTAGCAACTAGGAGAAATTTATTTCTATCATGCTGAAGACATTATTGTTCACAATTTTATAAAACTGAAGAAGAAGCCAACTTTGCAGTCGATGGAAAGTGCTACTGTCAAATGATATGTCACTGTTTGGGTCAATATCAATTCTCTAAATCTTAGATGGTGACAACTAGTCATAGAACTCGTGAAACCCTAACTGTATACCAATGAGCTTTTGGTTGTTAAACCCTATCAGGAATTGGGTCTAATATTTTTCCAAGTGATTGTACGAGTACTACTTTTTGGGAGGTTTGCCAAATCAGTACTCTATGGCTAGCGACCCGAAAATCATTATTCGTCGTGTTAATAGTGAGCTAAGGTAGGCCATTGTGGAAAAATTGGATGTATGATCTTTGTAAGACGTAGTTGCGGTGACCATAGGCACGAGGTCCCATTCAAGCAAGAATGATATAAAGTTTATGAATTAATAATGCCAAATTATTGGTCATCTCATTAACTTTTCAGTCTTTTGTTTAACATAAAACTGCTATAACACTAAAACACACCCTATATATATATGTATGCATATGTATTTTTACAAACCTTGGGATAAGCCTTTAACACCGGCAAAGTGGCTTTATATTCATATGTTTCGTCCTTCTCAAGCGGACATTTAAGCTCGCTATCGACGCAAGCATCGGGATTCTGCAAATGGAACGGCATCTCGACGCCCATCACCTTGCCATGCACCACCGTTGTAATTTTCGATGCAATCTCATCTGTAAATAAATTAAGAAAAATTTTATAAAACTGATGTAAGCGATACTAATAATAATGCTTATATATTATTATTAAAAGTTTAAAAACCTCTGTTATCAGCGACGTCTATTAAAAACAAAGCTTTACCAGTGAAATTTTACAAATTAAACGGAAGCAGCTTGGCGATAGTGAATTGCACGAGTATTGCAAAAACAGCCACGACATGTCTATTTAATAATTTTAAAATTTTTTTATTAAATGTAAAAACCGTTAAGGTCATAGGTGGCTTCAACTGTTTTCCTATGTCATAAAATCTTATCTTTAAAGGAAAGTTGTACAATTTGACCTTCGTGTATTATGTACATTTTTCTTTTATATAGTTACATGTGTAGTTTTGTAACTCAAGAATTTTCTAAATACCTATAAAAAATGCCCTTTTCCCAACTCATAAATATATAGAAAATAATTCGCGTGGTGGTAGTGGTTTTGGAGTTATGGAACTGTTATTTAAGAGAAGGTTCGAGTAAATAATAAAATGGTCAATATAACACCGAGTACCGGTTTTCAACTGATCAATCGTTGATTGTTTATTATCATATGTAATTGAGTAGACATACTGAGAAAAGAAGTATTGCAGTTTAGCGAAGTGGTATCAATTAACTTAAGAGATTATATATACTTTAAAAAAATAGATTTTTTGTTTCGGATATACAGGTTGGCTAAAAAGTTTCTGCGCTCAAAATGAAAAACTATTGTTTTTGGTACGAAATATATTTTTTAATCAATATAATATCCCTTAACTTCAATACACTTATTCCAATGATCCTCCAATAATTTTATGTCATCCCCATAATGACTTTCCGGAAGCTCTGCAAAATACTCGTTTACGGCTGTAAAAGCTTCTTCATTCGACTAAAAATGCTTTCCACGAAGGAATTGTTTCAGATTTCTGAAGAGGTAATAGTCGCTGGGAGCCAAATGAAAAAGTATATTTCTGTGCTGCCACTCATTTCTTCAGCCAGCTGATCCGAAAGGCTGCAATAATATTTAGAGTTGATTGTTTTACCTTTCTGAAGATAATCAATCAACAAAATTCCTTTTGCAGTCCAAAAAAACTAATGGCATAACCTTCTTTGCTGATCGTTGTGACTTCAACTGTTTTGGAGCTGAACAACCAGCTTCAGTCGTAAATATTATTGTTTCAATTTAGGATCATGATGATAGAACCAAGTCTCATCCATAGTTATAAAACGGCATTAGCACTTTCACGCTTAGTCAAACTTGGTTCTTCACTAACAATATTATGAATTTGCTCAATGATTTCTGGTGTGGCTGCGGTTTTTGGTCATCCTTCACATGGATCTTCTTTAAGCCTAGTACGCCCACGTTTAAATTCACCAGCCCAAAACTCAACAGTGCGTTTTGTAGGTGAGGACTCCTTATACACTTCTAACAATTGTTCATAAATTTCCTTTGCTTTTAAACCTTTCGAAACAAAGAATCTAATCACTGCGCGATATTCATTTTTTTCCATATTAAAAAAATACTCCGACACGTCAACTTCAAATGCCTCGTAAACAAAGAATTAATTGGCAGAATGACTGATATACCAACTTGAGAAAAAAATTTGGAGCTAGTAGTGCTATTTCTTGGTGAGACCAACCAACCCGTACATATTACATGCATATATATATATATATCGAAAATTTAAAGTTGATCTGGCAAATAGTTTCAGAGATATGAGCGTATTTGTAAGAATTTTGTAACTTGTTGTAATCGGCCAAAAATTTTAAAGTATTTTTCTCGAAATGTTTTTTCAGAGTCGATGAGTAAAATTTCTCCGAACTGGCTGGACACATCGACTTGAAATTTGCACACGATCTTTAGATACACATATATTTGTCAGGTAATAATCGAGAGAATAATATTTTTGATAATAGTTTCGATTTTTTAAGCCATTCTGAAGTCTAAACTTTTTTCACAAAAAACAACGATTTTTTTTTGGTAAGCCGTCATTTAGACCAAAATTTTGACTAGACCTTCGGTCTTTATTTATATTCATCTATAGTAATGATAAATATTTTTGGTTTTTATAATAATAATAATAAACCCAACGATTACCTTCCTCCCGCCCAACCGACGCGAGGGGCGCAATCCGCATACGTGCGGAATTAGCCGAGTCAGAAAAGGCAAGAGAGTTTTTTAAGTGTTGAGATCTAAAACTGCTCAGCTACAGAAACAAAAATTTCAACAGCTAAGATCTAAAGTTACAATATAATAAATTGTTACATTTTCATTTATTAGGAGAAAACAATAAAGTCTTTTTAATTTTGAAAAGTGAGTCAGATAAGTCAAATGTGCTGGAATGAGAATTAAAATCATGACATATACGGCGGAATGGCTCGTTTAGTTCAAAATTTGATCTACAGGATTTTAGCAGTAAAGGTCTAAACTGCCTCGAAAGGCGAACCGGGATATTAAATTTAATTTCAGACAGGAGAAAAGAACTGCAAACAGTTCCATTCAAAAGTTTCACTAAGAATATTATGCCAAGCATTTCCCTACGACTATAAAGTGTAGGTAGATTAATAAGTTTTAAACGACTTGTGTATGGAGGTAGACTTACCCTAGCATCCCATCGGAAATGCGCTAAGGCGAAAAGTAAAAATTGTTTTTGAACCGACTCTAACTTGTCAAAATGGATTTGGTAGCTAGGGTTCCATACCACAGAGCCATATTCCAATATAGGTCTAACCAAAGTTGTATAAAGTGTTTTAGTAATATACGGATCTCTAAATTCTTTAGACCAACGTTTAACAAAACTGAGGACAGCTTTTGCTTTCAAGACCATGGTATCAATATGAAGACTGAAATTAAGCTTAGGGTCCATATTAACTCCCAAATCAACATAGTTTAAAACTGGCTCTAGAATATGGTGTTTTATTACGTAAGAAGAGGGGTGCACAGATCTACGGGAAAAGCACATCGTCTTACATTTATTGAGATTCAATGGCAAATCATTTCTATCACACCATGCAACCAAATTGTTTAAGTCTGTTTGCAACAGACACCTTTCCTCAGTTGAAGTGTATGATTTAAAAAGCTTTACATCGTCAGCGTATAATAAAATTTTTGAGAATTCTATTACTGAAGAGATATCGTTAATAAACAACAGGAACAGAATCGGGCCAAGATGACTACCTTGCGGAACACCAGAAGAAACATTAATTGTATCTGAAGGTGTATCCTCAAATATCACTCGTTGTGTTCTATTATAAAGATAGGAAGATACCCATTGAAGGAATCTTGGCTGAAAGCCCAGCAGATCAAGTTTATGTATGAGAATCGAGATATTTACTTTATCGAAAGCTTTGCTAAAGTCTGTGTATATAACATCCGTATGCTTATGTTCCCTAAAACCCAATGATACATGGTTTACAAATTCAAGTAAGTTTGATATAGTCGAGTTCCCTTTACGAAATCCATGCTGAGATGAGGAAATTAGAAAGGAGAAATCGAAAAGGTTATATGGTCAGTGATGATAGCTTCAAAAAGTATAATTGATAGTTTTGCGATACCTCTGTAGTTTTCAATGTTGGATCTAAATCCACTTTTATGCAAAGGGATTATAAATGACTGTTTCCATATTGAAGGAAATATACCGTGTTTAAGAGAGGAATTAAATATCCTTGTCAAAGGCAAGTAAATATATTTGGCACTATTTTTTAGGAAGCATGAGGGTATCATGTCTGGGCCATAACTAAAAGATGGTTTTAACTTATTTAAATTAAAAAGGACGTCTTCTTCAGAAATAACTGGGGCGTTAATTATATATTTCAAACAATTTTAAGCAGAAAAATCTTCCTAAACACCAGACATATTTTTTCGAAGGTCTTGCAGCAGATCGGCTACGGAATCAAGTGATGCCAAAAACCCCTAAATGTTTTTAGCACCTCTACCTACAGTGTGAAAATGAGTGAGATCGGGGGACAACCCCGCCCACTCTCCATATAACGGTACTCTTAAAAAATACTAAAAGCCCGATAAACCAAACACTAAACACGCCAGAAACAATAAATTTTATCTCTGGGATGGTATGAGATGACTTTATAGGAACCGCGCTCAAAATTAGTCAGTGCGCGTGGCACCGCCCACTTTTAGGTGAAAACCCATATCGTGGGATCTGCTTAACCGATTTCAACCAAATTCGGTACTTAACATTCTTTTCACATTTTTATGTTATAGTGCGAAAATGGGCGAAATCGGATTACAACCATGCCTATTTCCCATAAATACCATGATTATTTCACTTTCCAGTATGCAAATCAAACAACAATGATTATATCGGGGTAAAACTTTGCGTGAATGATACGTTTAAAGTATGCCACCTTGTGACCAAAAATTGTCTAAATCTAACCAAAACTGTTCAAGCCCCTAGGAACTGAATATGTGGACCCCAGTGCCTATAGTTGACCTTCTACCGAAAATATCGGTAAATCAACAAAGAAATCTCAAACGAGTATACCATTTGACTTTGCGAGAGTATAAAATGTTCGGTTACATCCGAGCTTAGCCCTTCCTTACTTTTTTTTATTTATACAAGTATATCTTTTGATATAACTTTTTCGGGCGTCAAAAGTTCATTCCAACAATAAAGTGATGATTTTGCGCATTTAGCTGCTTTTTTGTGACATCTTACTGAAACCATTAAGCACTTAGAGGATTGATATTGATCTATTAGTCCAAAAAGTCACTAATCATTTGTATTCATCATTGACGGAACCGTTAACTTTATTTTCAGTTTTATAAAAGTATAAATTGTCAATACCTTTGTTATGAAAATCACATCAGACAGTAAGTTTATATTATATATATGAAGCGCTGAAGACGATTTGACGGAGAAAATATAAATGAGAGTTTGCTGCACTGCTTGTTGTGAGTTTTGGATAAAAATTTCTACGATTTTTAAATATTGTGCGGTAATAAGCCTTTTCATAGTGATTTGAAAATAAATGCCAAGCACATGTATTCACTTTGACAGCTGGTTCAACAGTTATTAGCCTAAAAACAACATATAGCTCTAATTCTCTAAAATTATATAACTCTAAACACAACACCCTATACTATACCTATTTAGTACCCGTAACATTTCTTAGAGTAGCTAACAAGAGCTACTTTCGAGCAATGTAATATAATTATTGGTTAAAAATTATTTAAGAAATATATTTTGATTTAAGAAATATTATTTATACTTTTTATTTTAAGAAATATTTTAACTTTTTTAGTTAAGCAAATAAGATAAGTTTTCAAAAAAAATGCAACTTACTTAACGCGAAATTAATTGTGATCGAAGCAGTTGTATTGCGTTTAAGTATGCATTCATTTTTGGTGGTATCACAGTCCGATATGATGACTTTGGTGAAACTGCCAGTTTTTGAACCTGAAATGAAGAAAAAATATTATTTTGTATACTATATATATATATTAGCATCAGAAAATAATGTATATTATTAATTAAATTAGGGTGTAATGATAAAAAATTAATCATATGCAGGTTGCTATTTATATGACTGGCTTTAGACACTTGAAGTTTTGTCAGGCGGCATTCTATGTTTATAAGTTTGTCTAAAAACGCCGAGTTTAACTTGAAACAAGATAAGTATAAAAAAACTAGAACCAAATAACTTAGACTAACAATTATTCGGTTTCCGTATCATACCTAGATATAGGCAAAAACAAAATCTATCTAAAATTTCACATGAACTTTTGAAGTTGTTGTTGAAGTGATCGAAAAATTACGCTAATAATTTGGACTGCACAGTTCACCATTCTTGTCGGGTTATACATTTCTTCCACTTACTTGGACCGACTGTCGTGGGAACGTTTCTTTTGTGTTTTTATAACGTGATATCACTTGAGGCTGCTTAAACCTTATATCATCCAAATTCAGACAATTAAATTAAAACTAAAAGAAGTATATTTTCGTACCACCATAGCTGTCATAACCTCACTAAAAGTTGTTTACCGTATCAGTCGTCACGAAATGGACAACTGAACGTTGGAGAGTCAACTTCAGAGAGATATATTTTAATAATATTTTACACACACGCTTAACTGGGCAATACTGTACCAGCCTTCTCATATATTATATTTCTGCGAGTCTCATACATATGTATAACCTAATTTAATTTAATTAAATCCATTTAGAACGAACGACACGTATTATGAATGAAAATTATCGCATGAAAGGCGTAGAAATGTGACAAAGCGCGAGAGAATTCATTCATGTAATGAAATTCGAAAAATTTTTAGCAGTTTACAAAATTCTGTTACAAAAATTCGGTATTATATATATATATATATATAGATAGGAAGATGAAAGCTCCTAATGTCTAAGCTCTGTTACTTTTTCTTTATCCGACAAGTGAAAGTTTTTTCAAGTTTAAGTCCCCTCCACACGGCTGCTGGATTTTATGAGAAGTTTTTTTCACGGCAAAAATGTACTCTGAAATGTATATTAGCCTGGGTCCCGAAAACCAACGGTTACTATAAAGATCACTTCGGATTTCGCACGGGGAGGATGATAGTGAGAAAATAAACAAATTGGTCCTCTGTTGCTGCCAAGCAAACATTTGTAAATTAAAAGTTCATACTGGGCAGCAAAATGAACTCTGTAAAAACCTACTCTAGTAGTGCAAGGACGGCTCGAAGACAACTCACTAATACCTTCTGTACAGGACTAGTATATACCTGTAGTCTAGTTCTGTGAGATTTAATCTTTAATGGTCCTTGAGTGCTTGGAAAGAATCCACCACCTATCAGCTCGCAAATGTATACATCTCATATGGGTTCTTGCGCATAGAAATATAAAGGGCAATGAGATGATGAACTACTTAGCTCGAAAAACAGCCACCAGAAGGTTTATACTATTTTCTTGGTAATCAACAAAATTGCGGAACCATAAATACACTGAGTACACAAACCACTGTCAGCTTGTGGCAGAGGCATCTGAGTATAAACTCCACACTCCCGCCGACAGTCGGGTCTACGTAACCGGAATCAACACGGATTTATATACACGACCAACTCTGCAGCATTCTCCAAATTATTTTGGAAGTCTTCTACAACAATAACGCGATGCGAAACAGGATATAGAGGCAAAGCCGTCGGATCTTAGAGTCCGTGTAGAGAGGTAATATTTTTTGGTTTTCTCGAAGAGTATATTCCTTTTTGGTTAAAAATAAAAATAACAATGAGTTAGTATATTTTGTATGCCGCATCGCTGATTTCTTTTTCGCGCACATTTATCGACTTATTCATAAGTACAATTAAAAAGAAATTTTACTTTTTATTTTAACGGTAAAATATGATGATTTAGTATAGGCTGGCATGAAATTCCACATTATTTATTTTTCTGTATGTAAATACAAGTAAATGTATATATTTGTTTTTGTATTTTAAACACCGCAGTATTGGAATAAATTCGACTTTCTTATGGCAACAACAAAAATTTGATAATTGAAATTTTTGTAGGAAAAAAATTTATTAAAGGATTAGTAATCCAACAAATATCTGCATATCTACAATTTTGCGACAAATTTTGCCGGATGAAAACAAAAAAATATTTAAAATATTAAAAATTTATTACTTTCGAAAATTATGTATTGTTTTTTCAATATAACTGTATAACTAATAAAATATATGTATGTATGCAATAAATGACATTTTTAAAACCCAAACAATTCTACTTCTTTACGTATGTATGTAGTGTAAACTGCCGTTATGGGCTCAGAACTTACATTTTCATTAATTGCTCAGTTAAGTTATTATTTCCTTGAACGGTGGTGAGTACAAAACAAGTGTTAAAAAACATTTATGTGTATTTGTACATATATATGTATATATAATTCATTTTAAATGTAGATAGAATTTTAATAGTCAATTAAATCTTAATTGTTATTGCATTTCTTTTCTAAAAAAGTTCCAAAAGTTTGCGCCCTTTTACGATATGTTGCCATAAGACTATCTTTATTATGCACGGACCACCATGTAAAATTACTTACAACAACAATAAAAAAATTTCGAACTTGTTTACAAATGTGCCTCAAAAACTATAAAAACTTATAATTTCGTAAAACTTTATTTGTCGCCTTCGATTAAATCTTAAATTTAAGAAATCAAATCTTAAATTGTAGAAAAAACTTTTTAAATTCTGCGAACTACAAGTAAATTGTAAAAATTCACCCGAATGGTAATTTTGACCTCTAATTTGTTATAATTAAAGAAAAGAGAATAAATATAATCACAAATTTTTTTATATGTGATTAGTCTGGCAACCATGCGAAACTTTGAAGTGCTAATGTTCTCTTTGTATGAAAAAACTGAGTTATTATATCCTGGACAGGATATGTTAAGTTTGCCACGAAATTTGTAACCCCCAGAAAGAAACAGGAGGAGACCCAGCAGAATATATGTATAAATTATAATTTCAGCGTGACGAGCTGCGTCGATTTATCCATGCCCGTCTGTTTGTATTGTATATACGCGAACTAGGTCTTCAGTTTCTGAGTTATCGATGTGAAATTTTACTCATTTGCCGATATCGAACTCCTATAGCATATAGCTGCCATACAAACTGACGGATTAAAGTTCTTGTCAGGCATTTTTCTATATATGTGTCTTGTTTATCATTTACCTATTAGGTATTTTCGAAACAAAAGTCGTATTCAAGACAAAGGTATAAATTGTGTCTCAATTCATGACATCTGTCTTCTTATCAGCAAACTTGTGAAAGAAAACTGCATGACACATTTAACGCCAGTGAAAGGTATTATCAAATACAAATGAAAAGAGGATATAGATATTATTATTGCATAAAAAAATTATGAAAAATGGAACGAAGAAATAAAAATATTTGTTTTTTTTATAATTTTTTTATCGTATATATAAACGGGGAATTATTAATTTTTTTAATTTGGCTTTATTAATTTTTTTTTGTTTAATTAATTTTTTTTTGTTTTTAATTATATCCCTTTTTTTTATATATTTTTTATCACCATTATTAAATTATGCAATCATAAACACTATTGGCCAGAAAAATAGGTACGTTTTTTTTAAGATCTACCATTAATATAACTAATATAATAATATTGATATAAATTAATTTTTGTATAAAATCATAGTTCGTGCTACGTCGAAAACCGTAAACACTGCTGGCCAAAATAATAGGTACGATTTTGTTCTCAACGTTTTTTGGTTTTAATTTTTGTAATGGAAATTTGTAATTTTTCTATGAAAATAATGTAAACGCTACCAATTGAAAACCATATACACTCTTGGCCAAAATGTCGGGTACACTTTTTTTTAGAACATTTCGTTATTATTATGCATAAGTTATAATTAATTTTTGTACGAAAATAATAAAAATGCTACAAGTTGAAAAATATAAATACATCTGATCGGAAAACAACGTACTATTTTATTTTAAGTTTATTTATTTATTACTATATGATTTATGATTTTATTTTTATAAGAAAATATACATATATATTCATGCTAAATCGAAAAGTGTATAATTAAAATTTTTCAACTGTACACAAGCCTTATTTAGTATAATTTAACAAAGTACAAAAAATGGTGCTGAAACTTTCAATTTTTTGTTTCTAAAAAAAAAATTTTTAATTTTTTATTTAAAATTGTTACTAACAAAATTTTTTTTTAATTTTTTACTTAAAATTGTTTCTAAAAAAATTTTTTTTAAAATTTTATTTAAAATTTAAAACAATATGATTTCAAATTTCAAGTTCTTGTTTGTGAAGCAAATTAGCAAATTTCAATAAATTTCATTTGAAATTTTAATTTTAAGCAAAATGATTTCAAATTTCAAGCTCTTGTTTGTAAACAAAATTAGAATAAAATTTCAAAAAAACTTATTTTATATTTAGAACAAAATGAATTTCAAGTTTTTGTTTGGAAAAACATAAAAAAAATTTTTTTAATTTTTATTCGAAACTTCAAAAACAAAAAAATTGGTGTGCAGTATTAGGGCACGCTCAATTCTAATGTAATTTTGTGCAATATAAAGTTTATTGATTTTTGAGAATTATTTTATGTTTTTGTTCTCCAGTGTATATAATGCTTTTATGCAGAAAAAAAGCATTCTTAATGCACGGTATCGCACGTAAAAAATAGTGTAACGGTATTCATTTATATACATATTATTTGCAATAGAGTTTACAAAATTAACTTTAATACTAATTTTGCAGAATTTATTTTATATATAATATTATGTTTCACATGTTTTGAAAATATTTAAAATACAATTATTTAATGCTTTTATAAACTAATTTTTACATTTTATATTTCTGCTAATTAATTGACTTAAAAATAACACAGTTATCTACGTATTTACCGCAATCAGTGAATTGTAGTCCATAAACGACGCTCGAACAAACTGTGATGGCGAAGAGTAAAAATACAAAATTCTGCTGCATTATGATTTTTTTGATTAATTTTTGCTTTTGTTTTATAATTAAGAGCAAAACTTTCGTTTTTTAATATTTTTTGTTATAGTTTCACTTTTATTTTTGTTTAATTATCGTCAAAGATGAACCGTTCATTAGCGCCGCTAAATATCTACTGAATTTTGTTGTATGAAAATGCAAATATTAGCAGCAGGCTCGTCAGCCAAGGCAAGAACAAGCAGCAATCGTCGGCAATGAGTAACAGAAATGATAAAGCTCGAGCGATATGGCGGCGGGTCTTTGCAGTTGACTTTTCGTGCGATAGTGCCACTATAGTGTCATTGTTTGTTGGATTGTTTATGTACATAACTACTAGTAAATATGTATTTTCATATAGAAATTTGTACATACAGATGTACATAAATTCCATATACATACATATGTAATGTAGAGCAGCCCAGTTGCAGCGTTTTGTAAATATGATTGTACCATTACTAGCGCAGAATTTAAACCTTTGGAACTGGTACCAAACTAGTATTTATCTTCTTTTAAGCTTTAAGGCTTCTGTATAGTTAATTAAGTGACGTAGCCAGGATTTTAGAGAGGAGTGGTAACTCATATTACTTTAAGCGTCTACCAGCAGCATTTATGAATAAAGCGAGAGCTGCCGGAAATGCTATTTCAAGACAAAGCACTGCTGAACTAAGAGAGGCAGATAATGAACTGATAATGATAAAGCTGGTAGAAATCACAAATACTGGCATAATCCATTACCAAATTTATCTGATTTTCCAAAACTGTAAGAGTTTTGTTTCAAACAAAAAAAAAACTGGTATAACGTTTCCTTCTATTTGTCAAAACCTAGAAAGTAGCGAATCGAACAAAAAACTGGTACAAGTTTTAAAAACTGACATAACCAAATCGTAATAGAATTTGCAAAAACATGTCTTATTGAATGAAAAGAATATCTGGTATAATTCGCAAGTATTGAATCGTACAAGCAACTGATATAAATTCCGGTATAATCTACTCTACTGGTATAATCTACACGGGATTGATGTTGTCCTCAATTTCCTAAAATTTAAACTGGCATAATTAAATCTAAATAAAGTCTTTCTTCGATTCACAAACAACTAAAGAGTCGTGATTCAAACAAAAACTAGTATAAATCACAAATACTGACATAATCACATACAAATAAAGACTATCTTCGATTTATCCAAAATTAAAGGGTGGCAAATCAAACTGACAACTGGTACAAACTACAAAGATTGGCATTATATGAACGCAATAGAGGCTCTCTTCGATTTGCCAAAACTTGGAAGTTGATGAATCGAATAAACAACTGGTATAATTTACTAAAGATTGCCATAATCAAATAGTGCGTTTATACCACTTTAACCACTACCAGTTTTAGCTGCTGGGTACACTTACATATGTATATATCTATACATATTTACATACTTGTTATTATTTATGACAACTCAATTGGATCAGTTAAGTGAATATTCCAAGTTACGTAGGCGCATGTTCTATTTCTCAGGGGTACTATTGACATTAGCTAAAGCTTGTCTTACCTATCGTCTTCTTAGTATTCTTTAATTCAATAAAATATGCTACAATATTTTCTTTGTAAATACGCAAAACAGCAGAAGGGTAACTAAGACTGTCGTCAGTGACTGCTGTTTGCTGCTTACATTTTGTTGTTCATTGCATAATATAAATGTAAGCAAGCGGTGTTTTTATTAAATTTTCTTTACTACAATTGTTATAGATTTTTCTTACTAAGTGCGAGGCGAGTCAGACAAATTTTTCTAGGCTTTAGGCTTCTCACAGACTCTCGAAACCGATGCTATCCTTAAGCAAACTGATTACGGAACCAGTATCAACTTGCTTCAAAAGATTTCTGATCTGGTCTCGGTGGCAAAACTTCGTTGCTGGCGAAACGGTTTCGGACACTCTTTGAGAAAAGTACGTAATTCCCACGTCACCACTATTTATTTGTTCAAGTTTTTGTTAGTCCCGTTAGTCTTTTTATTTCAAATAAATGTTTTTATGCTCTCAAGAAATAAGAAAGTAACTCGGTGTATATAAAAAATTATTTACTAAATGAAACGAATTCAGAATAGGCATCTTCCCGAAAAGCTATTTTATAATGGGTATCTTAACAATCCATTAGAAAACGCAATCTACAAGCCGCAGTGGAATAAGTCCACCTTGGTTGCTTCAATTTTCATCACCAAGTTTTAGCTTTGCCATTTTCTCTTTAAGTTTCAATAATGATCTGTAATGGAAACTTAATATTATATTAAAGTCCTGAAAATCTTGTAAATAAACTTCTTTGTCGCAGAGTACCGTAAAAAAAATAAAAACTGTAGTGGTTTGGACTACATCATCTGAAAAGAGTGTTTCTACGAAAGTCAAATTACTGAGACAAAAACGAACGCTTCGCTGAACCGTCTTGGTGTAATTCAAAGAATGTGACTTTCTCTGGGCTGGATAAAACAAATGCACGGCAATAAGAATGAACCAAGAATGATAAAAATGGAACTTACGACATTTTCGTTTCGTTACTTTTTTAGGAATAAATTTGACAGAAACGTGATGTCATAAATGAAAGATGTGAAAAGCATTATCTCCAATTACTATGAAAATTTGACATTTATGACGTAACGTGTCGAAATCTTTTACTCTATCAATCTTGGAGTGACTTTACTTATGATTTCTACTATCAAAAGTCTTCGGACCATATCCCATATAACCTTTAGTGGACAGTTTCTGAAGACACCTTAAACGAAAAACTCGGTATTCAAACGGAACTTCTTGTACATACTAGAAATATGACAGAAAATCAGAGATCTCTGGATAAGTAGCAAAAAAAAACGTTAACTTTGGCTGTCGCGAAGTTATAATACCTTTCAAAGATGCATTTTTTATAGCAGAAAAGGGTATAAAAACAATTTATCTTGATTTCGATCCGTCCGTTTATATGACAGCCACATATATACAATAAAATAGTGGTCCGATCTGAATAATATGTTCAAAGATTGAGGCTTTACCTTGGGCAATATTCTCTGCAATATTTCATACAGATATCTGGACAAATACAAGGACATGATTTTTATCCGTCAGTTTGTATGACAGCTACATGCTATAGTGGTCCTATATCGGCCGTTCCGACAAATGAGCAGCTTCTTGGAGAGAAAGTCACGCTATTCTGGTTGTTAAAAACTATGTGGCAAACTTAATATATCCTGTTCAGGGTATAAAAATTATTAATCTGCATATGACTTTGTATATGTGTAACCATGAGTATTTATATATTTATTTTTTCACTTAGTCATTCTTTAACCGTATTTATAAAAATAAAAGTATTGAAACTTGAAATCTAACGCCAGAACGTGAGCTTATAAACCTCTTGAAATTGATTTATCTTGTAAATATTGAAATACATACCTATACATACATACATGTGTGTGCAAAATGTGTGCAGCAACTTAGGTCTTATTCTCATTATTTACAAAAAAAATATTATCCTTACAAAACAGCTTTTGCAAGCATAATTCAATACTGCATTAAATTTATTTATTTATTATGGAATCAAAAACTGCAGTATATACACATATTTATGTACATACTTACTTATACGCGGGATCAATATACCTATGTGCAGTAGAAGCAAAAAACATTCACGAAATAATTTTGTGTATTGTTACCGAGTTGAAAGTTCTTGGCCGGTATAAATTCGGATAGGTGAAATAGACTCTAATGTCATACCGTCGAATATAAATGTATCTTGCCTTCTAATAGTTTACTTTAACAAAACTTTAATGAATCCCGAAACCTCAACTGTATCATTGTGATTTCATTTACAACCTGAGTTCTCTACTCGAAAGCGTTCTCGCGACCGAGAGATTTTTAAACCAGATTATTTAAAAGAACTTACATTAAAATGTCATTAAAGCCAAAAATAGAAAATAAGAATTTCTTAGTGACAGCGAGTCCTTAATAGCTGTCAAGGCCAGTTAGTCTCTCAAACATTAAAAAAAGTGAAGAAAATATCTGCCAAAGCTACCTGTGAATTCGAATCATGAAAATTCCTAAACCAATGAGCGCGTATTGGCCCACTGGGCTAAATATTCTAACTCCTTACTCTTTTACCAGTTGTTATTATAAAGAAAGTATTGTAGCTATTCAATATCAACGCGAACGGTAAGAATAACAAGTTGGACAAAAGTACAACTGCTTCTGGACTGGAGAGCAGATTGTCTGCGCTAAACCAGTCCATTATAGAAGCATATCACGGGACATAGCAGGGAATGAGCTGGCTGACGAGCTAACCCGCTATGCAGCCTCCACAAGAATGGTAGGACCAGAGCCTTTGTTGTTGTTGTTGTAACTGCAGAATTCTGCCGAGTTGACAGTCCTTGACCGGATAAAATCCGGGTCCGTTCCGGTTACGTAGACTCGACTGTCGTGGGAACGGTTGATTCGCACACCATTAAGGAGCTACTCCGTAATGGAGACGGAAGAATTAGGGCCCATATATATATATATATGTATATGTACATATTTCATATATATCTGTGAATGTTTCATTCAATTCTACCTATTTATTTGTTTTCTTATCAAATATGTAATGTTTTTGCAAATAGTGGGGCTTTTGTATGTACATATATTCTTTAATTGTCAAAAAAACATTTGTTGTTATGTTTTTATTAAAAATACAAAACAAGAAATTATTAAAACAACTTTTAGCGTGCTGCTGGTGTGGGCTGCTGCTCAAATTAATGTATGTACATGTGTACATAGATATGTTCATTTGCCTGTGTGTGTGCTTCATTCACTCATGCTCATCAAGAGTGCTTATTGTGACATTATTATCGCATCAGCCCGGATTTTCAATGTTCACTTGTAGTATATGCATACAAACATACATACACACATATTTGCTTACAATTATCAATCGTTCGAAAAACATGCACGAGTATGTGTTCATGGAAGCTGTTTGTTTGAATGAATCATTATTAACCATTCATATACATTTACATAAATAAAATGTGTATGTATGCATGGAATTTACAACAAAAGAAGATCGCGCTCACTGCACGTGAATGCCCAATAATTTAATTTAATTTAGTTGCACACTAATGCCTTTATAACAAAGGGAAATGAACTAAATAAAAAATATTCGTATGTATGTGCGTATTTTGTTCTGTGTTTAATAAAGCTGAAATTTTTCTGTGCATAGTTTCATTTCATGTCATAGCGATTTTAGCAGCTGCTAAAACTTATTCCGCTTCGTCTGATATACTATAAGTATAGTTTACAAAAACAATGCATGTATTACTGTGGGCGCCCCTCAGGATATATAAATAGGGTAATCAGGTTTTATATCTGACAGGAAATGCTAAAATACAGGACGTCACTTTATTTTCGACATCACTGTGAAAACAGAGAATGTAGATAATCTACATTCTCTGGTCATATTTAATCGACAATGCAGTTTTGAATTTTTGACAAAACTGACACCACCTTATCGACTTTTAAATGTCAACGTTAATGCGTTTTGACACCAGATTGACACGTCGTATTCGGCCTGCAGCTTCGTGCCACCCGATGAATTGTTGGTAGGATTCCTCGTATAGAAAAACTGAGTTATCAACTTATTCGTGTCAAACTTTTTACAGCGATAGAAGCAAAACGGTGCGTTAAGCTTGTTATTAAAAAATTCATATATTATTCCAATTAGAAAAAAAGAATATGAGTTAATAGAAATTAATTTGCTAAGCAACAATATAAATTGAAAATTATTAAATGATTTTAATTATTAATAAAATTAAAATTTGTCAATAAATAAGCCAATTTTGGAGACATTTGCCACGTCAAGTTTTTGCAGCACAAGTGCAAGTGAAAGGAGAAAGCTGAAGAATATATACTAAGATTGCACGCTTGTGTAAATATTTAAAAAATCCTAGTTTTCTCTGTACAAATATTAATATTATACAGAAAGGGATTTCGGTGTTTTAGAAACAACTCCTTCGCTTGCATTGTTTGCTTACAAGAAAAAATGCACTGATTTTGTTATAATTATGTTTTCTTTAATTTCAGCATTTGTGCATCACCCGCCTAACAAAACAATTTATTGGTTATCATGGATAAAGTAGTTAAATTCTGCGAACCTGGCCGTGCCTTCGCCAAAGACTCCATTCGTTTAGTGAAACGCTGCACCAAGCCTGATCGCAAGGAATTCCAGAAGATTGCTATTGCCACAGCTATTGGTTTCTGTATAATGGGCTTCATTGGTTTCTTTGTGAAACTAATTCACATTCCCATCAACAATATCATTGTGGGCTCATAAATTGTGAAGCGGCTGCATCAGCTGTATTATTTCATACATTCATACTTGTCTAAAGATAGTTAATTTACATTTACTCAAATTGTGTTTGTATAAAACATTGAATTGAGTTTATTTTTCATTTAGAAATAAGAGATTAAATATTTGCTTGTGAAGAGATTACTGGAAATGTTTCATTTTGTAGCTGAAATCTATATCAAAATCTGTATTTTATCGTAAGTGATGAATTGTCAGTTTAAAGACACCAGGAATAACATGATTTCGGTTTTACAACTTTAATAAAACATTAAAAAATAAATATTGGTATTTTATTGCGATTTAGGAACTGAACTCAAGTGTTGAATTAATTGGAAATAATGAGCTAAGCTCTCCTAAGACCACGCTTAATCAAATTAATTATATAAATATTTATTATATATATTTATAATAAATTTTAATTGTTTATATTTTTATTTAAGTATGAAAGATTTTTACCTACTATATATCATATCATATCATGATATACGTTCTCTGCTACAATAAGGTGCTGAACATACTCCAAAAAATGATTGAACGTTCGATAATACCACAAAAAGCTCGATGTTTTTAAAACCACACTTTGAGGAATGATTGTCAATTTCGCGGAAAAATTTTACACGTTATACGTTTATCAAGTTTATTGCTGTGTAAAAAAATTACTTCAATACTGAAGATTTAGCAGAAAAGTGTTTTAAAATATTTGAGAAACGTTTAAGATTAGTGAACAATAATTTTATAGTTAAATATTTGCATGATAGTGGTTTTAATTTGCGTTTAATTATCCGTCACCCTCAAGGCCAAAGTGTACGGCAAACGTAATCAATTACCACTATCGTTTTGTGTATACATGCAAATTATTGTGCATTCTATATAGCGTGGGTGTAGAATGGAAGAAGATTTAATATTACAACAGCCGGCAGATCGTCGACTGGGCACTGCAAATACGTTACCACCTGGTCCGCCAGGTGCAGAAAACGATGTTGTAGATTATGGTGAGTACATTCGCTAACAAGAATAAAGAATTATACTAAATTTATAAACATAAATGTATATTTTCATATGTTTCACAGAAGCTAATAAACCAAAAACTGAAAAGGAATCAAATAGAAGTTCTACGAGCCGATCAAAACGTCGTCGTTCACCGTCGGGCAGCCCACCGCGATCGCGACGTAAATCTCCTTCGCGTGGTCGGCGATCACCATCACCATTAGAAAGTGGTAGCCGCAGGCGTCGACGTTCGCCATCACCACCACCACGTCGCAATCGGTTTAGAGACTATTCGCCAGATCGACGACGTTTTGATGGACGTAATATGCGTCGTTCACCTGATAGACGACGAGGCGGTGGTGGACGCGACTTTCGTTATAGAGGTCGCAGTAGTAGCCGCTCGCGTAGCCGCAGTGTATCGCCACGTAGAGGAGGTGGTAATCGTTGGTCACCGAAAAAGAAGCCAAGTTCACCTCTACCTATTAATGCACCACCACCACCACAAGTAACTCAGCCACAAACCCAATACAACCCTATGCCAACACAACTATATACAAATGATACGTATGCACCGCCAGCATATAATCAATATGCGGTACCGCCACCACAACAAGCAGCTGGTTTTCCACCACAAACTGCTGCTGATGCTTACGGTATGCAGGCAGCAGCACCGCCAGTGTTTAACACTGCTTATCCGCCACCACCAGTTTGGACGCCCAATGGTAAGTTATGTGCAAAATTTGTCATATAACTATATATATATTTTCCTAGTTTATGTAAAAAATTATATAAAAATGAAATATATATATATATTCTTTTACTATTATTTGCAGACGCTTATGCGCAACAGCCTTGGATACCAACACAAGATCCGAATCAACTACCACAACTTGCCCAACAGCCGCCACCAGTAGCTGCACCAACCGCTATACCACCACCACAAATTGTGCAGCAACCAACAGTAAATGAACCCCCACCAGTTTCAATTGAATCTAGTTCAAAACACGATGGTATGTATTCCATAAGTTTTTCCATATTTATGTACTAAATTTTATACTATTTCGTGTTATGTATTTTCTCAAAATATATGAATTGATGTCAATTCATTACTTTTACAAAAAATCAAATGACACACTCGGCTAGTAATATTAAGTGTACATCCTAAGTACCAGCACAGGCTCATTATATCATACACTAGAACACACACACTAGCCGTGCTGTAAAAATTATAGAAAAATATGTTTAAAAAAAATAAGATTCTAAATACTCGATGGAAAACTACAACCTCCACCAGTACTCCGTACGTTATTCAACACGATTTCGTCGTACGCACTAAACTCGGAACCAGGAGGGATGCAACTAACGAAACAAACTACCGTTTCATTTATGCATTGTGGCTACACGAGTGCACAATGCTTTGCACTGTCCAAAGCGTAAATAAAAAGAAAATGCAAAATATGCATTTTGTAAATATACTTTTAAATATGCTTCTGTGGAATTAAAGCGACTAATGCCATTTAATTTTTATTTTCATATGTTTATAGCAGCTGTCGCACAAGAAGCAGAAAATCAACGCGACGAATTAAAACGGCAACGAAGCAGTTATCTGAAAAAGACATCATTGCTGCGCCAAGAATTGAAAATGTTAAAGGATCAACGCAAGGATCTACATAGTGGTGGTGCTGCACCACCATCGCCCACAACAAAGGGATTCATCGACGAAAACGAAAAGCTGCAGGTATGTGGACTTGTCATAGGTGCATTATGTTGTTCGTTATTATTTTTATTTTTAATATTATTTTGGTGAGTTAATGCTGTGTAACGAATGCTGGAACGAATATGCACTTGAAAGTCACGTAGTTTTTAAAATCAGTTTAAAAAATTGCTTGCGGTGGAATATATGTATATTGTGTATACAAAATGGTTGTGCAGTTAAGCGTTATTTCGTTTGTCTCAAGTCAGTCTAGTAGTGTCAAGTTTGTGTTTATACAAAAAGTGTTTGAGAAAAAGCAAGTGTAAGCAGTAAATGTTGACCCTTTTTATGTGTGTATAATTAAAAAGTTAGACATGCTTAGCCTAAATAATACAAAAAAAAATCAGTTTAAATATTTATTAATAAAAATAATGAGAGTTTAAGGTATAAAATTTAATATTACGGATAAATATAATAAATTTGCTTAGAAGTACAACGCAGTTCAGCACGAGTGTGGATAGAATATATTTATAGTTGCTCTAAGCATAATATATTTTTCAGAGCTATGCTGCTGCTTAAACCAAGCAACTGTTATCTTACTATCTACACGAAAATCGCTTTTGGCATTCAACCACACATAAAATTCATGCACCACTTGCTTTTATTGTGTCTCCATTAAGTGCGCTCTGCTTTAGAACGCTTCTTGCTGCCAACTTAATGTGCAGCATTCTAATCGCACAAATTTTGACAAGTGTAACGTTTAATTGTGTTCATAACGGTATTAAGTTGGAAATTTTGTTTGAATTGGGGAAATTCGTGAAGTATGCGTTAAGTGCTGATTATTAAAGCGCTTATTCGTTCGGTGCATTTTTGTACACAGCATTGCGTATGTGAATGCAATGAAATAAATTTTAATACCGTTAGCGTGTAAGCAACGTATTTAAGTCGATTATGTGAGTAAATGACAAATTTTTCACAGCTTATGTACCTGTTGATTTGATTTGTGATATGCATATACGCGTGTGTATATGCAAGCGTAGTTGTGCAGCAATTACTTTCGTACAATTTAGATGTGTGCAAACAGTCGTTTCTTTCTCGTTCATCATTGGTTGAAAAGCGCAAATTTGCAGGAAAACATGGAAAATGGATTTTAATAAGTTAGTGTTAATATAAATTTATGTATCTTATGCTGTGCACACATTTTTCAGAAAATATTAATAATTTTATGCAAATATGTATTAGATTAGATTGTATAGGTTATGTTTTCTAAAAAAAAAAATAGTTTATCGCTAAAATTATTGTATATGCAGCAAAATTGTAATTATTTCGAACTGGTATATAAAAATATTGTATTGAATTATGCACATTGTTATATGAAAGTAAACAAAGAATATTGTAAAACACAATCCCATCAAAATGGATTTGCCGGGAGTCGCAAGCCACTGATGACTATCGCTGAGAGCGCAGTTTGGACCGCTGCCACTGGAAATATCGGACATTTGCTGCAGACTAACTGCTGATGTTTTCAACTCTATACCCTAGTTAGCAATTGCGAAACGAAAAACTGAGAGAAATGCATTATAATTTTAAAGTATTTCGAAAACTGAATTAGTATATGCTAATTTATTTATTTCTTTTTTCCCCCTATTTAGAATCAAATACAAAAGAAACTCAACACCATTGAGAACGTCATTGACATGCTGACGGGCATTATTGGCGAGGAGAACTTGGAAAGAGACGAAGAACATTACGCCAGTGATAAAAGCGAAAAAGAGGAGCCAGTTAAGAAACATACAAAAGAACCAACTTTGGCACAACAGCCAGTTAGTGTTGGTGGCGAGAGTGGACGCAGTCGCAAGAAGAAACGTAAAAATTCGAGTACTTCATCTGGCAGCAGCTCGGGTAGCTCCAGCAGCAGTAGCAGCTCTTCATCGAGTTCATCATCATCCGAAAACGAAGTGGAAGAGGAGGACGACGACAGTTCACCTGAGCGTTTGAAGAACAAAGCAATCGAATCAATGAAAGCCAAAGCCAAGGAGGGTCTGAAACGCGAACTGAAGGAAGAGAAGTTGTAAGTACATAAATGTAAAGTTATAAAAATTAGATTTTAAACAATTTAAAAAAATGCATATACATTTTTGTGTCGAAGTCAAGGAATTATATGAATTATGAATGCCATAATTAAAAAATTAAAAAATCACATAAAAACTCTAAAAATCACAAAACCGTCTGCGCATGCGCAATGCAACTATTACGCATTAATTTGTTTTCAGCACAACTATCAACGCAGCAGCACGTCAATTCGTAAAATACACCTTAATTTTCTATTCTACAACAAAATAGTTAAATCGCCGTTTTCATTACAGATTCGATGAGAAGAAACGTTTCAATTATGTCTTTTATGATCCGGAAATGCATTGGTGCCAGACATGTGATGTTTTTCCCAAAACAGCAAAGGATTTCTTAAACCACTTGCATTCTAAAGAACATATGGATCGTGAAAGCATCGAAACACCGTGGCACATTGATGTGGCAACTGATGTAAGTGTTTATTTCGTGTTTCGTACGCTTAACGGTTAATTTTCTAAACACTTTAAAAA